TATATATATATATATATATATAATAAAATACTAGAATAGAATAGAATGGAATGGAATAATGGGATGGGATGGGCCAAGGGCTGGTGGGAGTTTAGTGTTTGCTTTTCCTCCAAGAAATGGATATATTTGAGATTCTTTAAATGAAGGATTGGACACCCCATGTTATTGATCTTAGTAATGCAAGAAAAGATGGACTGAAAAATGGCCAGGCTGGGCTGAATTGAAGAGTCCTTGTATTAGCCATCATTGTGGTTGGAGGCTTTGAGTTCATTTGCAGGTTGATTAAGCCAAGGGCAGAGTTGGTGGGACTGTGCTATACTTTGCATCAGTGGCTCATTAAAACCACTGTGTCATTTCTCCGAATTGTGCTGCAGCTGTGGGAGGTAGCTGCTTTACAGAGTGCCTTTCTTTAAAGGTCCATCTCTTGCTTTCCGATCCAAAGCTCTCTTTCGCCCTAATTCTCCCGTCCTGGCAACCCTTAGGGTTTCTTCCGGGAATGAGAGAACATGTAGTCCAGCCTCTCTGAACTGAGGCCGCATGTCTGCTTCATGCCTAGCCTGGCGAATGAAAGCGCTAGATGGGCTTCCTCGCAGGCCCTCCACACACATCGATGTCCCTCTCTTCTTTCTTGGCAGTGCGGGAGTAGGCAGGACCGGCGTCTTCATCACGCTAAGCATCGTACTGGAGAGGATGCGCTACGAAGGGGTGGTGGACATCTTCCAGACCGTGAAGATGCTGAGGACACAACGGCCCGCCATGGTACAGACAGAGGTGAGAAGGAGAGCTTCACTTCACGTTGGACCCACTCAAGACTCAGAAGGGCTGGGTCAGGGGAAAGAAGGGGGGATCAGCACTTCCCCCTACCACCCCCAAAAGCGTTACCTCCACCCCACCCTTCCCCTGACCACATCCTTGCTCCAAAATGGGGACAAGAGTGGAGAGGACTTCTGCTGAGGGCTTCAGGGAGGAGCATCCAACCTTTCCCTAGAGCAGTGTTTCTCAACCTTGGCCACTTGAAGATGTCTGGACTTCAACTCCCAGAATTCCCCAGCCAGCATTCGCTGGCTGTGGAATTCTGGGAGTTGAAGTCCAGACATCTTCAAGTGGCCAAGGTTGAGAAACACTGCCCTAGAGGACCCTTTCTTCCTGCAAAGTAGCAAAGGCCAGCAGGCATCGTTTACATGGGCACCCAGGTACACAGGGAAGCCACTTAAGGCTCAAACCAATATTGGGGTGTGTTTTTCAAAAGAGTCAGGAAGAGAAATCCCTGGCGGGGTGAGAATCCTTCGGTCCCTGTATCCAGACTGTTGCATGCCTGTGGCAGGCCCATCAGTGGATTCCTAGGGGGGGGCAGGGAGAAAATTGTCAAGCCTGGAGACACATGTGGCGATCAAAGCTTCATCCCTTTCTTGCCCATTTTTAACCCCAGCTTTTTGTGAAATCCCACAAGATCCAGCCCTACCAAGCTGAATGTCTTTCGCTCCTCAATCTGTGGGTCTTTTGGATGCTCCAAGCGATTTCTGCAAACCACCTCCGACAGGTAGATGCCAGCCTAGGCAGGCCCTTGAGACTGCGTGAGCCCAGAGTTCGAATTCCCACTTGGCCAGGAATCTCCCAAATGCGACATGGGACCTGTGCTTTTTCTGCCGCCTGGTCCACTCTATAGGAGTGTTGTGTAATCACTGAAATCAACCAGAGATCTTCACAGCAGCGCCCACTTTACAGATCCAATAAATAAGAACCCGTGTGGGTCTCTAGCTGATTCATCCTGGCCTGTTATGCATTTTAGGGCAATTTATTTATTTATCAAAATCTGTTTGGTGGCTATCTTGGTTTCCCACAACTTTGGGCAGTTTAAAATCCGATAAACTAAATTATAAAAGTTCAAAATAGTAAGACTCCAGGCTAGATATCAGTAAGTAAGATATCTTATATCTTAGTAGGATATCAGGCTAGAAACATGGAGATGATGGTGAGTTCTAGTTCCGCCTTAGCCATGAAGGCCAGCTGGGTGACTTTGGGGCAGTCACCAGGAGACTGGAAGTTCTAGTTGCACCTTAGACAGAAAAGCCAGCTGGGTGACTTTGGGCTAATCGTCGGGAGATGGGGAGTTCTAGCCCTGCCTTAGCCATAGAAGTCGGCTGGGTGACTTTGGGCCGGTCCCTCTCCCTCGGCCCAACCCACCACCCAGGGTTGTGGTGGTGGTGGTGGTGGGAAACAAGAGATAGAAATTGTGTTGGACATCGAGTTATTTGTACACATAATGAAGGCAGGATAGAAAGAAATAAAATTAAGATAAATAAACAGATCAATGGAACAAACTCTGCCTGCCAATAAATAAGCCGTCTCTCCTTCCTTCCCCCCCACAGGACGAATACCAGTTCTGCTATCAGGCCGCCCTGGAATACCTGGGGAGTTTCGACCACTATGCAACATAATAAGGGAAAGGAAACTTCTCAAAAGCCATTCGTTGTGCAGAACTCCTAACACTTTTCAGCCTGCAAGGCTCCTGTTTGAGCGACGCGAAGCTAAGCCTCCACCTTTCTAAACACCTACAGACTGAATCAGAAAAAAAACGCTGCCTCGCCGGGAAGGAGGCACCAGGGGAGACCCCAGCAGCGACACCCCCTCCTTCTCCCGAGGTGCCGCTGCATCTCCAAAAGGGACTTTCCCCCCCCCTCTCGGCCTGTGTTTCGGAAACCCCGGAGCCCACCCCCCAGGGTGGCTGCGAACCAGGGCAGGAATTTTTTCTCCCCCTTCTTTTTCCTTCTTTTTAAGTGGCGAACTTGTTGTTCTTACCTCATCTGGTGTCGACGGTGTGGGGAGCCCACGGACCGCTTGCAACCGAACCAAGAAACCACATGGAACCTTTTCTTATTGCAGCAGGCGCCGGCCTCGTCCACACACCTCGGAGAGCAGCGGTCCAGTTGGGGGGGGGAGGGAAAGCAACCCCTGGCCAAGAACCAGAGAGAGGCAGAGAGAGAGAGAGAAAACCTACAACAACCGATGGGGAGAATAGCAAAAGAAGAATCTGGCCACCACAAGTAATATTTTAGGGTTCAGTTGACATACTGACTAATCTTGCGGGCGGGCTTAAAGGAAGCCACTTGAGGTGTGAAAAATTAAGAGGCAAACAAGGCAAAATTTTGCATCAGGTTGGGGGTGGCAGGACTCCACACCAAGCGGGGTTGGGGGGTTTTTTTTTCGGGCTGTCCTGCGGCTTCTTTCTCAGCTTAAGCTTCTCAAACACTTTTAACATTCCTCTTCTTTTACCAACCTTCTTCCCATGTCAAAAAGCAAACCAGAACAGGCAATAAACACCTCCTCGCACCCCCCCCACCCCCACCCACAAGCATTTCACATTTTGCAAAAAATAAAAAAAAAGAAATCCACAGTATTTGCCACACACGTCATCTAAACTCTGAATTTTGGAAATCTGCAATCGGCAAACACCCGTTCCAGGTTACCTTC